AGGGTGATTCGTAATGGGGACAAAGTTGGTTTGAAAAAAGCGGTCGATTTTTGAAAAGTTTGGTAAGCGAACATTCGAAATTTTTAGATTCCCCTGTCAGTGGACCCCCGCCTAACGAATGCAACGCATAAGTTAAAACCCCCTGCGTACTTTTAACGCAAAAATTTTGCCTGGCTAGCACTAAAAAAATCGCTCAACGCGATTCGTTGAGACGGTCCCGTGCGGCCCGAGCCCGCCCACTTGTTCCGTGGGTGCCGTGTTTACAAACAGCCACCGCGGTTGCTTCCAAGATACAATCGGAAATTTCATATTATCACAGCATTTTTAGTGATTGACCCGCAAAAATAATCACCTGGGGGGGGGGCCCCCCGAAAACTTTTGCCAACCCCACAGCAGAAAAGGGTGGAAATTTTTTTTGGGTATGAAGAAAAAGATCATTGTAATATGAAAGTGGAGTGGTGTCTCCGAGTGGCCAGGTTGTACACAAAACCCAATCAACATCATACTATTGTGGCCAAGAAAAAAGGCAATCAAGGAAGCTGTTCTTGCCAAAAATGAAACTTTGTTTTCGAAACAGAGATCGAAAAGTGATAGAAGATGTTGAGAGACTGTTATTGGTTTGGATGAACGAAAAACAGATAGCAGGAGATAGCATTCTTCAAGCGATCATATGTGAAAAGGCTAGGAAGTTTCATGAGGATTTAATTAGAAAAATGCCTGAACTAGGGGTGATGTGAGTGAATTTAAGGGCCCAGCAAAGGTTGGTTTGAGAGATTTAAAAATCGTTAGTGGCATACATAGTGTGATAAGGCATGGTGAGGCTGCCAGTTCGGACCACAAAGCGGCTGAAAATATGTGCAGGAATTCAAGGAGTACTTTGGGACAGTGAAGGACTAAAACCCTGAACAAGTGTTTAATTGTGACGAAACAGGCCTGTTTTGGAAGAAAATGCCAAACAGGACCTACATTACTCAGGAGGAAAAGGCATTCCAGGTCATAAAGCCTATGTAAGACAGGCTTACTCTGTTGATGTGTGCTAATGTGTGGTGACTGCAAAGTGAAGCCTTTATTGGTGTATCACTCTGAAACTCCCAGAGTGTTCAGGAAAAAACAATGTCCTCAAGGCTAATTTTTTGGTTTTACTGTGGAGGGCAAACAGTAAGGAATGGGTCACTAGGGACTTTTTCTATGACTGGTTACCCCATGCATTTGCCCCCACTGTGAAAATTACCTAATTGAAATAAATTAGCCCTTTTAAGTGCCTCCTGGTATTAGACAATGCTCCTGGTCATCCTTCAGACGTGGCAGAGCGGACTTTCTGCGGAAATGAGCTTCTTAAGGTCAAGTTTTTGCCTCCTAATACCACTCCTCTCCTGCGCCCATGGACCAGCAGGTTATTTCCAACTTCAAGAAACTGTACACAAAAGCAATGTTTGAAAGGTGCTTTGTAGTGACCTCAGAAAGTCATTTGACTCTAAGAGAGTTTTTGGGGAGATCATTTGCATCCTCAATTGTTTAAACATTATAGGTAAGGCTTGGGAGGAAGTGACTAGAGGACCTTGAAAATCTGCTTGGAAGAAACTGTGGCCAGAATGTGTAGACAAAAGGGATTTTGAAGGGTTTGAGGCTAACCCTGGGAATCCTATGCCAGTTGAGGAATCCATTGTGGCATTGGGGAAGTCCTTGGGGTTGGAGGTTAGTGGGGAGGATGTGGAAGAGTTTGGTGGGGGACAATGAAGAACTAACCACTGATGAGCGCTAGATCATCTTCAACAGCAAGAGGCCAACCTGAGGAAAACTGCTTCGGAGGAGGGGATAGATAAATTGAAGAAGTTGCCTACTTAAAAGATTAAGGAAATGTGTGCAATGTGGCTTAAAGTGCAAACTTTTTTTGATGAAAATCACCCTCATACAGCTTTTGCAAGCCGTGCTGGTGACTATTACACTGACAAAAGTTGTGAAACACTTTAGGAATGTCATAAAGGAACGGGAGGGGAAGGCCTCTATGGACAGATATGTTGTGCGACAGAGGTCCAGTGACTCTCAAGCTGGCCCTAGTGGCATTAAAAGAAGGGAAATATCCCCGGAAAAGGACTTGCCACCTCAATTCCAAAGGGGAAGGGGGTTTTTCCCCCTTCTAAACTTTAAACACCATCCACAGTCTCCCCTTTCCCTTCCATTAACATCACCAGATTTTTAAAATAAAGGAAAGGGGTTATGAAAAACTGTGCATGTTTCTTCATTTTGTGTGTTTAAAAATTAAATTTATGTGAAAAATTTTTTTTTTTTTCATTTTTTGGGGGTGTCAGGAACGGATTAATTTGATTTTTATTTTTATGGGGAAAATTAATTGGCTAATGATATTTCCCCAAAATTTGAGCTCTAGGAACGGATTAATACGATGGGCAAGGGCCCAAACTGTATTTGAAAACTTTTCATTTTATTGCTATTTTTTGAAATTATTGTTTGATTTTTGCAGTTTTTATTTATTCTTTTTTTTTTTTTTTTGCATTTGCTTTAATTTTCTTTATTAATATACTGGTCTTTAAAAATCAAAAAAATTTTTGTGTGTGTATATATATAATAATATTATATATATATAATACGATATATTACACATGGCCCCCCGCATAACGTTTTACCCCCGAATGCGACCATTATGTAAGTGTATTTATGAAATGCGTTTGTACGTGTATGTTTGGGGGTCGAAATGGACAAAATCTATTCACAATATTTCTTAGGGGAAAAAATTTTGGGTCTAGGGCCCCCTGAACATACTTTGGAGTAAAAAAAATATCGTTAACGGGGGTACTGTTTTTTTAAATATTTATTTAATATATTAAATTAATTTATAATATATAATATATTATATATTTTTTAATATTAATATATTTTTATATATATATATTAAAAAAATATATTATAAAAATATATTATATTAAAAATATATATATTATTTTATAAAAATATTTTATATATACAGTGGACCCCCGGTTAACGATTTTAACCCGTGCAAGGGGGGGGGAAAAAAAAAAAAACTCGTTAGCGAAATAATTTTTATGCGAATGAATTTTCCCCATAAGAAATATGGAAAAAAAATTAATCCTGAAAAGACCCCCAAAAAGTATAAAAAAATTTTTTTTTTTTACCACATAAATGTTAATTTAATACCACAAACTGAAAAGGCATGCCAATTACATGAAAATTACTTTTATTTAAGATCTGGTGTATTTTGGGTGGGGGAGGGGAGGCATTTTTCTTACGTTTAGAAGGGGAACCCCTTCCATTGGACTTTATAGCAAGTCCTTTTTGGGGTTACTTTTTTCTTCTTTTAATGCCCTAGGACCAGCTTGAGGTCACGGACCTTGTCGCACAAAAAATTTTGTCATAGAACCCGTACCTCCCCGTTTTTCAAGACTTCCCCAAAATGGGGGCCCTAACATGTCATTTAAATATCAAAGCACGGCTTGCAACAGCTGTGTCAGGGGGATTTTCTCTATAAAGGGGTTTTCAGTTAACCCACTTGCACACATTTCCCTTTAAACTTTGAAGTAGGCACAATGGATTCCCCAACTGGCATAGGCTTCTCAGGGTTAGCCCCAAACCCCTTTAAAAACTTTCTTAATTTCCCAAAATTCTCACCCTTTTTTCCACAGGTTGGCACTAAAGCTTTTTTGGGGCCCATGGGCACTTATTTTCCAGAAACAGCACCCAAAAAACTGTAATAAAACAAAAAAAAAAAAAAAATTTCCCAGTGTATGCTTGGGTGTTACCGCGGAGGCTGGCTGGTAAACAATGGGACGGGCGGACATGTGAGGCTGGCGAGGGCACATTGGACGGTCCGGCGAAAATCGGTAGGGGGGTTTTTAACGGTATGCCGGCAAAATTTTTCGATAAAAGTAAAACGTTTGCGGAAAAAAAAGCTATGGGGATGCCTTTGTTATGCGGGGGCCCCCTGTTATATATTATATATATTATAATTATTTTATTATATTATTTATTAAAATATATATATTAATAATAAATTTTAAAATTGGGGAGGAGGATATGGAAGAAGTGAATGTTTTTGTACTTGGGGGTTGGTGTCGGCGGTGGTTTTTAAGGATGAGGTTTAAACAAAAATTTATGAGGGGGGAAAAAAGGTGAGTGGGGCGTTGAGGTTTTTGGGAGTCAAAAAAGTTATCTATGGAGGCAAAAAAGGGGGAAAGTATGAAAGTATAGTAGTACCAACACTCTTATATGGTGTTTAAACTTGGGTGGTAAATGCAGCAGCGAGGAGACGGGTTGGGGCAGTGGAGATGTCCCGTCTAAGGGCAATGTGTGGTGTAAATATTATGCAGAAAAATTTGGGTGGGAAATTAGGAGAAAGGGGTGGGTTAATAAAAAAATTTTTCAGAGGGCAGAAGGGGGTTGTTTAGGTGGTTTGGCATTTAGAGAAATGGATCAAAGTAGAAAGACATGGAAAGCATATAAATCTATGGGGGAAGGAAGAGGGGTAGGGTCGTCCCGAAAGGGGTTTGGAAAGGGGGGTAAAGGGGTTTTTGTGGGCGGGGGCTTGGACTTCCAGCAAGCGTGCTGGGTGTTAGTAGGAGTGAATGGGAGATAATATTTGGGGCCCTGACGATCTGTTGGGTTGAGAAAGGGTAAATTTAGTAAGGATTCGGGAAACCGGTTTTTTCTTATAGTGGATTTGGTCCGGGAAAGGGGAAGTACAATGCCTGCACTTTAATTAAAGGAGGGGTTCGGGATATTAGCAGTTTGGAGGGATATGTTGTGTATCTTTATACGTATTTGCTTCTAAACTGTTGTATTCTGAACACCTCTGCAAAAGCAGTGATAATGTGTGAGTGTGGTGAAAGTGTTGAATGATGATGAAAGTATTTTCTTTTTGGGGATTTTCTTTCTTTTTTGGGTCACCCTGCCTCTGTGGGAGATGACCAACTTGTTGAAAAAAAAAAATATATATATATGTCATTTATTTTATATGTGTTTGTTTTCAGGGATTAAGCTTATTAGAGCTCAAAAACCAGTCTTTCCTCACATATATGGCAAATCTTGTGTACCTGACTCTTCGGAAACTAAAAGGTTTGAAGATTGAGAAAGACTCTAGTATTGGTAAGAATTACTAATTGGCTCTTGTATGTTAAATTTAGTAAGTACATTGCTGCAATAGTCAGTAAATCTGTAAAAAAAATTACTAATATAATTACATTTAAAGTTTTCATTTAAGTTGACAACTAATTTGATTTATATTATATTTAATCTTTTTGGAATTAGAGGTCATTTACTATAAAATACTTTCTTTATATATTATATTATATTATATTTTGTATATTTAGTCTTACTAATGTTTTATGATAAAAAATACTTACATTTTTCTTGACCAATATGTGTACTCCAGTGCATTATTGAGAATACTGTGCATTCTCAATTTTGTACTTTTACTGTACAGTGGACCCCCGCATACCGTTGGCATCACATAACGATTAATCCGCATACCGCTTGCTTTAATCGCAAAAATTTTGCCTCGCATACCGCCCAAAAACCCGCTCACCGCTGTTCGTCCGAGACGCGTCCAATGTGCGCCTTAGCCAGCCTCACATGTTCCGCCGGTGGCATTGTTTACCAGCCAGCCTCCGCGGTAGCATCCAAGCATACAATCGTAACATTTCGTATTATTACAGTGTTTTTGGTGATTTTATCTGGAAAATAAGTGACCATGGGCCCCAAGAAAGCTTCTAGTGCCAACCCTACAGCAATAAGGGTGAGAATTACTATAGAGATGAAGAAAAAGATCATTGATAAGTATGAAAGTGGAGTGCGTGTCTCCGAGCTGGCCAGGTTGTATAATAAACTCCAATCAACCATCGCTACTATTGGTGGTACAGCTGCTGCTGCTGCACTGTCAGCTGCTGCTGCTGCTGTAGCATTGTCTGCTGCTGGCTGTAGCATCGTCTGCTGCTGCTGTAGCATCGTCTGCTGCTGCTGCTGTAGCATCGTCTGCTGCTGCTGTAGCATCGTCTGCTGCTGCTGTAGCATCGTCTGCTGCTGCTGTAGCACTGTTGTTGGGTGGCTTTGAGATCTACCAAGGCTTAACCAAGTTTGCCTGCATGATACGCAGTCGTTCTGAAGCTGCTAACTTTTGTTGGTGTGGTTATTGAGTATACCAGATGCAATCAACCCAGAGGACTTGCCACCCAGGAATAAACCAAAAAAGTGTCTCGGAAGACTGTCTAATTAATTTCACAAAATTGTTTAGGTTTAATCTTGTCTACCAGTGATGATAAGCAGTTTGAGCTAACACCACAGGTACGTAACAGGAGGAAAAATGCCTGGAACTAGTGCTTCAGTCATTGTGAATTTCAACCAAAGGTTGGTTTTAGTCAATTTAAGAATCTAGTGACATCACAATGTATACTGTGCTGGAGAACATATACCTATGCAGGACCTACGTTCAGGGAGGAAAATGTAATTCCGTGGTACACGGTGTCTCATCGGTTCATTGCTGCATCTTCAATAAATGGGTAAGTGTCATTTATTCTTCATTAGTAGGACTAGTACATGCACAATATATACTGTGATGCCTCTACTATTGTGCATGTATCCTTCTCTTTGTGTGTAATGTTATTTTCATTAATTTTTTTTTTTTTATACTTTTGGGTGTCTTGCACGGATTAATTTGATTTCCATTATTTCTTATGGGGAAAATTCATTCGCATACCGATTATTTCGCATACCAATGAGCCCTCTTGCACGGATTAAAATCGGTATGCGGGGGTCCACTGTATATATGTTTTGTGTATAATTTTTTTTTTTAAGTTTAGTAGATCTATAATTAAATGTTTGAATTTGTATCTTGTTTGTTAAAATTTATCAAGCATTGCAGCAGTAGGGGGTATCAATGTTTATTTTTTTTTTACACAAATTTTAGATTAAGATCTGTTATCCTACCTTAGTTCATTTCAAAACTTAGCCCTCTCCTAAGGTATACTGTCACTCCCTTAGGATGTGACCCACAAGAGTTAGCTAACACCTAGGTACTTACTTTCTGCTAGGTAAATAGACAGCAGGTGTAAGGAAACATGTTGCACATGTGTCTAATTTATCAAGGAAACATACTGCTTATTAGAGTAAAAATAGGAAGTAAGAATTGGGTTATAATAAGTGTTTATGTACCTAGTGGTGAAAGGAATGTAGAGGAGGGAGAAAGGATTTAACTCTTTGACTGTTTTGGTCGTATATATACAGTGGACCCCCGCATAATGATCACCTCCGAATGCGACCAATTATGTAAGTGTATTTATGTAAGTGCATTTGTACATGTATGTTTGGGGGTCTGAAATAGATTACTTCACAATATTCCTTATGGGAACAAATTCGGTCAGTACTGGCACCTGAACATACTTCTGGAGTGAAAAAATATCGTTAACTGGGGGTCCACTGTATGTCTTATGAGCCAGTGTTTTGGACGTACAGTAGGGCCTCGCGTTACGGCGTTTCGCTTTACGGCGTTCCGCTAATACGGTCATTTCAAATTATGACCAAAACTCGCTATAGGGCTCCCCCCACCTGACTTTCTAATACGGTCACCGTGCCCCACCCTGTTTGTTTATATTCTCTGTGAGCTCCATAAGCACTAAGTCTCTCCAATATGTCTGGAAACTCCAAAATTTCAAGTGTTTTTAAAAGTTATTTCATATTTTATATATATTTTTTATTTTTATTATCACACTAGCCGATTCCCACCAAGGCAGGGTGGCCCGAAAAAGAAAAACTTTCACCATCATTCACTCCATCACTGTCTTGCCAGAAGGGTGCTTTACACTACAGTTTTTAAACTGCAACATTAACACCCCTCCTTCAGAGTGCAGGCACTGTACTTCCCATCTCCAGGACTCAAGTCCGGCCTGCCGGTTTCCCTGAATCCCTTCATAAATGTTACTTTGCTCACACTCCAACAGCACGTCAAGTATTAAAAACCATTTGTCTCCATTCACTCCTATCAAACACGCTCACGCATGCCTGCTGGAAGTCCAAGCCCCTCGCACACAAAACCTCCTTTACCCCCTCCCTCCAACCTTTCCTAGGCCGACCCCTACCCCCCTTCCTTCCACTACAGACTGATACACTCTTGAAGTCATTCTGTTTTGCTCCATTCTCTCCACATGTCCGAACCACCTCAACAACCCTTCCTCAGCCCTTGGACAACAGTTTTTGGTAATCCCGCACCTCCTCCTAACTTCCAAACTACGAATTCTCTGCATTTATTCACACCACACATTGCCCTCAGACATGACATCTCCACTGCCTCCAGCCTTCTCCTCGCTGCAACATTCATCACCCACGCTTCACACCCATATAAGAGCGTTGGTAAAACTATACTCTCTACATTCCCCTCTTTGCCTTCCAAGGACAAAGTTTCTTTGTTTCCACAGACTCCTAAGTGCACCACTCACTCTTTTTCCTCATCAATTCTATGATTCACTCAATCTTTCATAGACCATCCGCTGACACGTCCACTCCCAAATATCTGATACCGTTCACCTCTCCACTACTCTCTCCTCCAATCTGATATCCAATCTTTCATCACCTACTCTTTTGTTATCCTCATAACCTTACTCTTTCCTGTATTCACCTTCAATTTTCTTCTTTTGCACACCCTACCAAATTCATCCACAATCTCTGCAACTTCTCTTTCAGATCTCCCAAGAGCACAGTGTCATCAGCAAAGAGCAGCTGTGACAACTCCCACTTTGTGTGTGATCTTTATCTTTTAAACTCCACGCCTCTTGCCAAGACCCTCGCATTACTTCTCTTACAACCCCATCTATAATATATTAAACAACACGGTGACATCACCATCCTTGTCTAGGCTATTTACTGGGGAAAAATTTCCCTCTTTCTACATACTCTAACTTGAGCTCACTATCCTCGTAAAAAATCTTCACTGCTTTCAGTAACTACCTCCTACACCATACACTTTGAACATCTGCCACATTGCCCCTATCCACCTGTATAACGCCTTTTCCAAATCCATAAATGCCACAAAGACCTCTTAGCCTTATCTAAATACTGTTCACTTATATGTTATCACTGTAAACAACCTGGTCCACACCCCTACCTTTCCTAAGCCTCCTTGTTCATTGCTATCCTATTCTCCGTCTTACTCTTAATTCTTTCAATTATAAACTCTACCATACACTTATACCAGGTATACTCAACAGAGTTATCCCCCTATAATTTTTGCACTCTCTTTTATCCCCTTTGCCTTTATACAAAGGAACTATGCATGCTCTCTGCCAATCCCTGATTAATTATACTTATAATTATAATTATACTTATAATTATAATTATACTTATGTATACCTGTACCTGAATAAACGTACATACTGTGCTGGTGTGCAGGTACACATTAAAATCAGTAAGAGTGTCTTATGTCTCAAGACGTCATGTTAGTAATGATAATAATAATCATCGAGTCTCATTAAATGTCGTATATTACGTTATACATATTTTCGTTAATCCATCTATGATATTTTTTCAAAATTATATAATAAACACGATGCATAACATATAAAGATGATAAATACACCCCACAATAGAATAAATAAACATAAATATGAGATGTGGTAGCCAGATAACTTGTACAAGTGATGGCAAGAATAACACTTTCTCTAGTCTAACATAAGAGAAAATGTGTTACTGGGGGTAACTGTAGAAAATTATTCCTTTCGTATGTATGTAAGTTTATACAGGTATTCACAAATACAGTTACATAGATTATCATACATAACAGCATATGTGTAGAGAACCTAGGATAACCCAAAAATATCAGACAGAGTGACTTATTTCCATTGCCTTCACTCAGAGTGTCATTTCTTCTAAAAATGGTGTTACATGAGAATGGAAGTGTTCTTCTTTATTTATTCTACCGTATCAATGTAGAGACAACTTGTACACAATGTAACTTGTACACAAACCAGGCGTGTACACTTTATTGTTTACAAAACTTACCTTCGTCTGGTTTGTTTAAATAACTCTGTGCCTGTTCTCCTCATGCACTCATTCTTTCTCTCTCTCATTTATTCGTTTTATCTCATTTACTTACTCCTGGC